CCCCCCCCCCCCCCCCCCAAATTTTGGCTTGTCTGTTGTGGTACCAACTAATTTTAAAAACATATATTGGGTTTTATAGTTATGTTCGGGAAAAGATTGAATGGGGCAGATGGCCAGGTGATGATGTTGTGGCCGTTGACGCTGTTTATAAGTCGTAGATGCATGATCGTGTTTTTGATGGTGGTTGTGAACAGCAGAATATTGGTTGCAGGGAACAATATAACAATCGAATTTCTCTGAATGATACCATGATTGGTAAGGTTTATATTTGCATCATTTCATTTTGAGTAATCTTATGTCCTCTTCTAACAAAAAACCTCAAGGTGGACAGAAAGGGTACACAGTCCACCTGTAGCTGATGATGCTGGTGACAAGGGCCCGTTATTCAGTTACAATGTGGTGATACTACGTAGTACCCTGATGACCAAAGTGTGTTCCTGTAGCTGATGATGCTAGTGAGATGGACCTGTTATTCAGTTACATTGATTCTGATACTAAGTAGGAACCCTAATGGATTGAGTGTGATTGTGTGTCCCCCCCGTAGCCAGACGCTTCTAGTGAGTTGGACCTATCATTCAATCTCTGTGACGCTGTTTTTAAGCATGGGACTTGGTGTTTGAAGACCTGACAGAACAGAGTAGCAAGTTTTTGTTGCTTATTTTTTGGGGGTACTTTCCTTAGGCTTCACATGGCTGACATCAATGATAAACCTGTGATGTGGATGTGTTGCACCTGATGGTGAAAATTTTATAAGTCGTGATTGTAGCTGTGCAGTGGTAACTGACATCTCTGTAGTATGATATGTGTTCCCTCCTGGCTGTAGCTTTGAAGTCATTATGAATCCATCTTTTGCAGGCTGTGGCTGTCCAGGTTGGGTGGGGTGGGGTGGGGTGGGGTTGGCGGCATTTTGATACTTCCAGTTCTATATTTTAATGGCAGCATATTTGGCTTTGCTAGTTTGCATTTGGTTCTGAAAATTTCTTATACTCATGCACCATAAATTTTGTTATGTGTTGTCTATTTTAAACAACCACATTAATATCATAGTCTTGTGTCTTCTCATTCTGATGTAGAGATTTTCTATCATTGCTTATGACATGAGCTCTTGTTGCTTGTTTTCTGAACTTCTATGTGTTCATGTTGCTATTGTCTCTGATCCTGCCTCACAGCCTTTTTTACTTTCTATGAATGACATAATATATGATTATGACTTTGTCAAACTTCCTTGATTGTGTGCTTGTCCTCTGAATCACAGTGAGGTTTTGTTGTCGATTAGTATTGTGGCTATATATCGAAGCTGAGGCATTGTACATTGGCATTGGAATCTTTTTCGAATTACCTTGTCTGGATGGCCCACAGATGCACAGCTACTGATTTTGGCTGCACTGTTTGTAAGTTTGAACTCTTTTTGGGATGACAGTAAATATAGCTAGTTGCCATTTCATTTGTGTTTTTTTAATCGAATTTCATTTACCTTTTGATTAGGTTCCTCATGAAATTTCTCTCCATTTTTATCTCGATTATTTCAACATGTTAAACGATTATTTTGGTGGTTGTCTTTTTTTCTATACTTTCGTTATGTCTTGATATTTCTTTTGTTAAATTAACTTGTTGATGTTAGATTTGGGGCAAATATGACAAGCCATGCTGCTTATTTTTCGAAGTTGATCATAGTGTTATTGTGATCTAGCATTGTGGTATTAACCTGCTGAACTTTGAGGGTTCATGGTGCCTTATATTATAGTGTTGATGGTAACTTAAAAAGAGTCTTTTACTGCTCTTAATATAATTTGGGCCCTGTGTGTGCTGCAAGTGTGTTTTTTGTTTTGTAGGTGGTGGTATGATAATAGGCTATGCTCTTTAAAGCATTATATGGGAAGCTCAGAAGACTCGGAATTACATTCAAACCCTCTGATGTTTGTCAGTTAATTATTTAGATCTCTAACATTTGAAATCTTATACACAAACTCTTTGAGGGTTGTACGTGCGTAACGTTTAGACCTTTGCCTTTGATGTCTAATATATATGTTAGTAAATTATATTTAGGCCATCTAAAATTTGTAAGCGTGTATTATTTAGACCTCTCAANTCTTTGAGGGTTGTACGTGCGTAACGTTTAGACCTTTGCCTTTGATGTCTAATATATCTGTTAGTAAATTATATTTAGGCCATCTAAAATTTGTAAGCGTGTATTATTTAGACCTCTCATATAAAATATTACATTTAAATCTTTTATCAACGATTAAATTATCTCAAATAAAGATAGGAGATATTGTGTCCATCGGTGTTTGATTTTTTAGTTTTATTCTAACAAATTGTATAATTGTATATTAATTATATTTTTTAAGAAAAAATTAAGTTTTTATTTTTGATTTTATTTTAAAATAAATGACATAATAGAACATGAATTTTAGTTGTAAAATTTCAAATATTTGATGCTCTATTTTTTAGTTGGAGTANGTTAAAATAAATGACATAATAGAACATGAATTTTTGTTGTAAAATTTCAAATATTTGATGCTCTATTTTTTAATTGGAGTGTTTTTTATTTAAGTATAATATTTTAAATTTGAGGGGTATAAATGTTACATACATATAAATTTTAGAAGGTCTAAGTTTACTTTATTAAAAAATATACTGACGACAGGATCTTAGTGTTGTAAGTGTTATGTGTGTATGAACTTTAGGGAGTTTATGTGTAATATTATAAATGTCAATGGGTACAAGTGATTAAGTGACAAATCTTAGGATGTACGATTGTAATTCCAAAAAAAAAAAAAAAAAGTGGCACGCAAGTTTAATGGTATTCAAATTCTGACTAAGGTTGAAATCTTGCTGTACAATAAACTATACGTGCTCTCTCAACTTATGAGGGCCATTATGAAACATGAGAAAAAGGAAAAGAAGAAGAAGGTGGTGTCTATTTCTCATCCTATTACCCTACCTTTCTCTCATGCCTAATGAGCCAGAATGGTAATCCTTTTATCAGTCATATTGTAAAGACCTTTGTATAATGGCCCCAAGACAAAAAGGGTCGAGGCAATTTTTTTTTATTAGCCAAGCAATTGGCTAGCCCCGTATATTCTATGGTTACTTTAAAACCAGGAACACACATAATAAAGCGACAGAGCCAGTGAAAGAGGAAAGTAATATGATATTCAAAAGAAGTTGGCAAATGGATTTAGAAGGAAAGAAGCGGTCTATAAGATCATAATTATCCCAAATTAGTGGGGATATTAAGAAAAGAACGGTTGGCATTAGATTTCAACAAACATTGTTCTCTATGCCCATCGATGGCAACCTAATGAGATGTATTTCATCGAGAATCGAAGGGGGGACATCCTGCCAATTGGAAGAATTAAAGCATTGCATGACTGTAACCAAATGGAAAGTTTAACCATTTCATAAATCCCCAATCGTCTCCAATGAGAAGAGAGATGAGATTCTAGTTGGTCGACCCAATCAATCCACCTCTGGTCATGATTAATCCATGATTGATTGGTTCCTTGGTCACATGATTTCCATTGAAGCTGTTTAAATAATATATCTAGGAGAGTGAAGGTTGTGACTGTTTGTGTACATAGGATCATTCGTTCGGGCTACTAATTAACTCAAATACACGAGGGGACATTGTTTGGATTATATTCTATAATTTTATGAATGAACGCAAATGACACCTATCATAGAGTGAATCAGCAAAAAAGAATTTGTCACATGACAAACATTTAATTGATGCGAGAAAGATGAACCAGTTGACGTGATTTTTCAAATTCAGATGATGACAGTTACGAGATGAAAGTTATTCTAGGGGAGACGATAAGCTATGTTGGCTTTTTGAATTCAATGAAAATCAGTTGTCAACGAAGAGATTGAAGGCAGTTGATATGTTTTTTAAACTCAGAAAGACAACAGTTATGCAGGGAAGAATTGATGAAGATAAGAGCCGTCCGAGACAAAATAACCGTCAATGGAATATGCCAATAAAAAAGGAGAACAAGAACACGATCAGCCACAACAAAGATCAACGGCTTGGGCATCATTAGAATAGGCTAACAAGGTCGTCTCATTAGTCTTTGTAACCAAAGCTTCTTTCCTGATGAATTAAAGTTTTCTCTTTTATTAATCTTTTGTTAAAATCATATTTTCTTGCTTTGAGTCGGTCGTTAATCTCATTCAAGGAAATCTTGAAATAAGGCAGTTAAACCCTATTCAACTAATCATCTAAACTATTCTGTCGAAGTAGAAGTACTCGTTGAAGGCGGGAGACTTTCGACCAACAAGTGCATATAATTTTTAAATTATTATCAACAACTATAATGTGGTGTCCACACGTCTCTAAAACTATCTTTAATTCTTTTTTATCAAATTAGGTCATTTATTTGCATAATCCCTTTCTTTAGAAACCTTTAATTTTCATAAACATTCAGTTATGAAATTTGGCTACAAACTTATGTGGGACATGTCTCAAATTTAAAAAGATCAAAAAAAAATTAAACACAATTTTCTGCTTGTCCAACATGTATCAGTGCCCCAAGGGCATATTTGTTTGATAGGGTTGGGTGGGTTTGGAAAGGTAGTTTAAGTAAAATAGTTAGATAGACCTCTTAATTTTATGTTTGATTAGGACTTTGAAGTTTCGAATTCATATCCCGGCCCATAAGTGGCCCGGAGTATTAAACTCATATATATGACAAATCCAGGGGGGTTTCATATATGCTAGCCTCGGTTAATTACTCCTCTCTACCAAATCCATGGCCTGAAATATCATATCTATTAAATCACATCCCTCCCTCGAAATTACTCTTCTCTATAATTAAATAAACATAGGTATGGTTTGGATTGGTCAATGGACAATATACTCATTTACAAAACAAATGTGTAGTGAAAATTGTGATAAATCCGTGGATTTATTTATATTGCTTACTAAACA